CTATTACTACCACTACCACCACCCGGGTCATCAGTCTCTTTCTTTCGTTTCACGGTTTAGATTACCATAGATGACTTAGATTACCGAATCAGTGGCTTTGGTTACCGAATCGTGGTTTTGGCTACCGAATCAGCGGTTTTGGCTACCGAATCTGCGGTTTTTGGTTACCGAATCATAGTTACCGAATCAGACCGTCTGGTTACCAAAGGCCTGTTTGGTCTCCGCAACCGGCCAAGTGATGTAACAGCCTCATTTGAAAGCACAGTGGCTGAGCGGCTAGACTCATTTAGCACTTTGAAATCAAGGTTCTAGAATTATCCAGGAACCTTGGCTGAGTTCCTTTATCTTGGTGGCCTGCGCTTTCCTGCAAAACTTCCGCCCGCGGATTTCAGGGGGCCGTGGGGTTCCCGCGCGGTGAGAGAGCTTCGAAGCTTACGGGGCTACAGTGGTGCAACAGCGGCAACACCAAAGCAAGCAAAGAGAGTAACCCACTGGAGTTTCCCCGCTAACAACGCAAACCGCACGGAGACGGCGGATTTCTATCAGCCGGCAGTCCATGGCGATGTCCCAGGCCGGTGCACCATGTGCAAAAGTGGGAGTTGTTGTAGAAACAGCACCATGGGCCCCACACACTTTGACAAATGTGGTCCAAAGTATGATACATTCAATACGGAAATCATTAAAAAACGTTTTTACGCTTCTCCCCCATGTCCTTACCCATCAGGGAGACCAGCTCGCCAGGATATGAAAGGCGAGGAGCCAAGCCCTTAGAGACCTCCCAGAGGGCCCGACCTTTGGAGGGATTCTCAGGTGGAAGGTCGACAGTTCTAAACGGCAATTCGGCAAAGACGTTTGCTTGGTTGGGGTTGAGGTTTCCTTGTGAGGATGGTGTACAATGTTGTACATCTTTTCACAACGGGCTTAGGTTGTCCTCAGCTTTGTCACAGCTTTCTGCCCCAGGTGTTTGGGCACTCAGAGAAGTGAGAGTTGCATTTGAAGGATTATATACTGTACTGTAATTATGTCGGATTGACCAGCCATTGCAGATGTGTGGCGGTGGGTGGCACCCTGCAATGGACATGGTAAATGGCGTGAAGGATGTACACTTGAAAAATCTTGAAAATCAAGTTGCAAATGGAACAAGGCTGAAGGTCTATGACTATTCCTATGCAAGCCTGGATGCGGCATCTAGATCAAAATAAGAACAGGATCAACAAAAGTGCAAAAACGGGATCAAAGTCGTTGGGTTCCTGGTCCTTAAGCAATCATGGTCCATTGGTCAAAAAGCGTGAGATGTGCAAAATTCATCATATTTGCGAATTTGGCGGGACTTCAACAAAAAGAGCTGCCCGGTTGCCTTGGTCCTTATGTCACTTTTTGGATGTCCTTCATTGATGAGGCAATGAGGGTGATCTATTCTGTGGTGCCTTCTGAGTCTCGTGGGTTCGCTTTGGGGGGGAGGCGCTGCGCCCTCCCCCCCACAACCCCAGCGCCATGACATCTGCACTACTTTGCCAATGCGCTGCGCCTGCCACGACAAATTCTTTAACGGTCACCGATCACATCGCCAAACCAAAGATTGCATGCCCTCGCCGCCCTCGCCGAAGTCTTTCTGTTTGTGTGTTGCAAACCTCCTTTCATTGTCCTTTGGCCGGTGGTGGGGCCTACTTTTGCTGTGTCCAACATGTCCATCCTTTGCTTCTCTTTAGTTTTTCTTTTGTGGGTGGATTTTTGCGCTTTGGTTTGCTTTGATCCTTTTATCGCCCTGCTGCTGTTGTCCTTTCCTTTTTTTGGTTATTGTTTTACTTTCATTGCTCACTGGGGGTAAGTTGTTGTTTTTTTTGATCCTTTTCTTTTTGATCCCCGTTGAATATGTTTCTATTGCTGCTATTCGTATTCTTGTTGATCCCTCACCGCCCGGATGCTGCGCATTGGGGTAAGCATGCCAGATGCTTTGGATTTGAGGTGCAAGAGCTTCTGACAGCTCTAGCAGTGGCCGGTGTCCCAGCGAACTCAGTGAGATGCATGTCGGAGTGCCTCAGCTTGAGATCCAGAGGTGTCCCTTCTACGCATTTCATCCGAGAAACGGAGTCATTGGTCGACATGGATCGCTCCAATGAGAAGCCACCAGGGATGTCTTAGAGACCCGAGGTGCGGGACACCTGTTCCGGTCAAAGACAATATATTTAGAGTATATATATATATGTATATTTCTGCTGTATTTGTTACATTTAAAACAATATGTACATATATATATATATATGTGTGTGTGTAGTATATGTTGCTACATCCATTAAGCTCCTATATTGCCATATCAATGTATAATATCACTAGACGAAATCACATGTTCTCCGTTCCTAGTCACGAGTCTTCGGGTTGTCTATGAGATGTGAGACATGCTTCGTCCGCGAGGCCAAGGGACCTCCTTCAAAGGCCCACACCGCCAGTAATCATGTTTGCTGGGGTGACATGTCCAGGTGCTTTTCACAGTTCATTCTTGTTCATTCTGGGTTTGGACTTTGATCTGAGGCCGTGTGTAGAGTGATTCTAGACCACTATTTTGATGTGTTCTGGGAAAAATCAAGTTTCATGCTAGCATCCCGAACGAACTATTTGGCTCACAGCTCGGTTGGGCAAGTGTTGCATAAGAAAGCATTGGTCATGCTTGGGTGAAGTCGCAGTCGAACGCCTCCCCAGACAAGAATCAGTGGTGCTTCTTCATGATGACAAGAACTTTCGACGCTGCAGATCATTCTGTTTCCAAAGATGTTGACTACTTGTGACTACATGGACACAGTTCATCTCAACTGGGGCATCTCGAGTTCCACCGCGTCTCGCTGAGAGAAGGCGTCAGCACAGAGCGGCACAGAGCGGCGTCAGCATCCATGGATCATGGTCACAAGAGCTGGGCCTGGGAGTGATATTTTCTCCCTTCGCTGCTCGGAGGCTTCAGGTGGCAGAAAGGGGTGCGTCTTTTATATATATATATATATAATAGGGAGACCCCCGCTCTACTTCCTATCTTTCAGGGTCTTTGCCAGGTCTCCCTACTTTTAATACACACCCATGAAGCTTGGGACAAGACATTGACATAGCCCGGCATCGCGCGAGGTTGGACGTGGTTCATCTCCAATGGTCGGCTGTTCAAAGCTGTACTAAGGCTCTGGCTCCTACGCATTGATTCCTGGTGATGACAATGCTGTAAAGCCATCAAGGGAAGAAAGCCTTCAAAGTCGCCCAGAGTCGCGGCGCTCGCGCACCCAACCAGCATTGGAGAGCATAGGGATTTGTGATTCGCAGCGGCAGGACCGCACGAAAGAAGGTCTGGCAATCTTCGTGTGCAAAAACGCTTGGCAACGGACATCCATTGTATATGTATATATAAATATACACATAGATAGGCCTACCCAAGACATACATACCCAACCTATTACCCAAAGACCTTAATGTAGACTGTTGATGAATGTAACCACCCCATGTTAAAAACTATGTATAAGAGCCTCATACAGCCTCTTGATGTTATGGACGCACAATGACTCACATGGGTTTTCTTCGGCTTTCTTCATCCACCAGCTCTACGCAGGAGGTGCGTCGGTGCCTGACCTCGGTGGCCAGCAATTGGGATCCACCGGCACCGGTGGGATGGGAGGTCCTCGATCAGGTCGGCACCGGAACCCGGCACGTCTTGGAACGTCTTGGCACGTCATCAGCGATGTTCTAGACAATGGACATTGGTAGAACTAAACAAGAGTATATAAATGCATTCTCATGTATTCTGGTTCATTCGTGTGTCAGCGGTCTTGAGCTGCAATCATGCCTTTGGCAGAACTTCTTGGAAAGTGGGCCGATGCAAGCGGCTACCATTTGACCCTTGCCAGAGCACAGCATAGACCATCGCATGTTTCCATGTTTGTCCGGTTCAAACATTCAAACATGTTGAAGCGTCATGAGTCATGTGCGTCAATCTGGAGGTAATTCGCTCACATGGGTACACGTTTTGCCGAGGCCTAATTCTCCTCAACGCAGTGGTCATTGGGCTTGAAACCGACTTCCCAGAGAAGTTCGCGTGGGACGTGGTCGAAAACATTTTCTTGGCCTTCTTCTCTGTTGAGCTTGCAGCATGGCTGCAAGTTTGGAGATAGGCTCAGTCCTGTCGACGACTCGCTCCAATCGTGTCCCTTCCTGTTGCTTGTCCATTTGGAACTTTCTTCTGCAGATGAAAGGAGCTGGTTAGTCTCTCCTGATTTGTCCTTTGTTTGGCCCCTCTGGAGACGTGCCGCGCTTGTGCATTTGGCGTGCCGCGCTTGGCCGTGGATGTTGGGACCACGTCCTCCAGCGCATCCTCCGAGGGTGCATACTACTGTAACTTGCGAGAAACGCTCAGGTGATTCGGATGTATTGTCTGGGCATTCAAAAGTTCTTTGCATTTCACAACAACCCGGACATCGACTCTTTGATGCATGGGCAAACGCAAGACGGCAACATGTAGTTAGGCGGGTAAAGTGTGGGGAAATCAACGTCATGTCTCTTTTTGTCTCTGGCACATGTCATTGCATCATTGGGCGCCGTGCTGCTCGTAGAAATGAAGCAAGTTGCCTGAGGGGAAAGAAGATGATACACAAGAGCCATGTTGAGAAACTACTAGGAACAACAAGAAACTACTCTTATTACTATTTTTTTTGTAGGATGATTGTCCTGCAAACAACGAGGCGTGGAACTGCTTCGATTTCCTGCTCGTTGCGATGGGAGTGCTCAGCATTTTACTGCACGTTTTTGCTGGCTCCACCGACATCTTAGCAAGGACACGGGCTCTCCTGAAAAAAATGCATTATAGAACCTTTGCAATCCCGATGAAACTGTACGGGTATATCATATATGCCTAGGGCCTAGGCCATGCCTCCATTGCCCCGGCCAGACTTTCATAATTAGAACTTGTTCACTTAATCATTTGTTTGCCTTCTGCAGCCGTTTTTATGCTCTTGTAAATTCCAGACCTCGCCATGGCTGTGCAGGCTTTACAGGCAAAGCTTCCTGTCTCCATTCCTCCCACCGCTCCCGCTCCACCCGGATCCCCAAAGCTGCGCAGCTTCGGATCGGAGAGATCCTTCGTCACCGCCGTGGTCACCTCGGCCGTGCTCCGCGCGTGCCGGGCAGCGCGTCCGCGGGCACGGCGCAGCGCGTTGCACGCGTGGAGGCGAGACGTGCTGGGAACCGCGTTGGTGGTGCTGCCGCAGAGCTGTTTGGCGGCTCCGAACACGGTGCGCACCGCGCCCGACGTGGCACGGAGTTTGTGGGGCAAAGGCCTTCGAAGCGATGAGGACTTGGCACGGTGGGAGGCAGCCGTGGCATCTGACTGTGTCTACTACCTGCACAAGGTTTGTTTTTTAAATAAAGTAGATGCTTTTGGTGTGCTTCTGTTTTTGTTCTATGATGCGAAATGCAGCCCCTGATTTATTGACTTCTGTAAACTGTTAGGTCTACGAAGATCTCTACTACGCCGAGCCGGCAAAAGGAAAGCAGGCTGTTGTCGAATTGATTCGACAGAAGCTGTTGCCGCCCAAGTCGCATCTAGTCATTGACAGCCTTTCTGATGGGAGCTCATCATGTGGATTTACATGGCACATCGAAGAAGATGGAGTGGGCATAGGACACCGTGGCTTGTGCTTTGTGAGGCTCAATTCAGCTGGCGAAGTGGCATATGTCCGCGATTTGGGTGAGCCTTTGTTTAAGGCAGGAGAGCTTACTGAAAAGCTGCTAGAAGCATTGACCAAGGATCAGCCTTTGCCTGAACGTCCTGTTTTGTCCGGCCCACCCCAAACGCCACGTATGGCGGGAAGCATCGTAAAATATCTCTACGGTGACGTGCAGAAGTCTGGTGGCGATGCGGTTCGCTTCTACGCAGAAGATGTGGTCTATGAAGACATGAACTACGAAGTTCCATTTGTTGGAAAGAAAGCCGTGGACGGTTTCCTGGCACGCTTCCAGAATATACAAGGTGTGACCTTCAATTTGGAGGAAGTCTCTGATGGTGAGGAAGCCGTTGGCTTCACATACACCATTCAGATTGCTGGACAACCGCGAGGGATCCGTGGCATTACCTTCTACAAGGCGTGAGACATGGCACAAGTGCATGTCCCAAGATGTCAATCTATGCATTTGGGGCCCAAAATGATTTGATCCTGTAGCAATCTGTAGCATGTCCTTTCTATTCCAATGATTCAGGAAGAACACATATAAAAGCAATTGAAAGCACAATGAAAAGCAAAGGCTTGGTGCACTGACCCAAGTGGCACAAGTGCAAGTGCAAGTTTGTACATCGTCAAGTGTGGACCGCTAGAAGAGTAAAGCTACACAACACTGGTTTATGTGCACGTATGTATCGTGTATTGTGTTGTATTTACTGTTCGGATGTGTTCGGGATTCTTCAGTGGGAAAGCTTTCAGGGTGCCACAATTTGGGGCTTAGACATGGGGGAGCTCAGCTACTTGCACAATTCCCAAGAACAGTCCCAAGAATATATGTCCTTTTCTCGCAGAAGAGCCCATTTTGGACCACCTGGCTCAGGTCAAGGATGGCAAGGTCTGCTATGTCCGGGACGTCCCGGAGAGTGCGACAAAGCCGCCCCCTGTGCAACAGCTGGCGCGGCTGCTACGCCCGGGGCTGCGCAAACTGCAGACCTCCGCCGAGTCACCCCCCCACTGCTGACCAAAGAGATCGAAAAGCAGAGTGGTGGAGTGGGGTTTAGGGTCGTTAGGGTTTGGGGTTGACCCTAGAAGGTGGTGTGGCAGGGTGGGTTTCTACAGGTGCTTTTTGGAGGAATGATAGAACAAGAGCGACTGGGGGGCAAGCGCCACTTGGTAGAGACGATCACTTGGACCGAAGTTTCGTCCCCTGTGGGAGGAACACTTTGGGGACAAGGCACTCTTGGTGGCAGGAACCAGCTTTTTGGTTGGTGTTTATTTGGAGGAGTATGGTGGGCTACGATGAAATCATGTGACGTCGTGCCTCTTTGAATTGCAGAATCCCACAGAGCCTATCTATAGGTCAACCATCGTGCCTCGTGCCTCAAGCCGCCAGCAGCCATTTACCTGTTTCTCCAAGAGACCATTGACCTCTCCTGCGGTGGGTGATTGCTGAATGTTGGATGGTGAAATGGAACAGGGTGCATGTTGAAAGATCTTAAGGAGTGAGATGATTCAGAGTCCGGATAGTGTGGATGTGTTGCTGCTGGCTCAGACTTGTACCCCACCACCTCACCAACTAGTGGCAACAGAGCCCCCAATACTGCAACCCCGTCCGATCTCAATTATGCAGCAGGAATGCAACGCTCTTTCGGATCATTCGCTTGCTCAGAATTTTACGAGTCCTGCGAATCATCAGCTGCCCAGCTGCAAGCAAGATCTGGCAAGGGCTCAAAACTGCGACGATTGGCCCAGAAAGAAGCAACAATGCAACAACCGGCGAGCCAGTTTCTTGAACCTTGCGAGGAATAGTGCGCTTCCTAAAGCAGCTCTACTTGCTGGCCTACGGCTTCATTGAAGGAACCATGGCAGTTTTGTGGGTGTGGCACTCAGAGAGGAACCGAACAGATTGCCTACTAGATTGACAACCAAACAGTTTGGAACAGATTTGACTTAGACGATCTTAGACGCAATTATTGCCAAAAACGATTTGACTTGACAGCGTGATGCGAAGGCAGAGCTATTCTAAGCTATTCTTGTGAAGATTCGGCCACAGGTCACGATTCTGGCTTCCTTCATGTTGTATATTTGTGCTGTGATCCTGGTGCGAGCCTATGGTAAGAACGGGAACAACGATGACCCCTACCATGACTTTTTCGAGGAGCATTTTGGTGACCGGGCAGAAACAAGCTTCCCATGGAAAAGTCCAGTGACATGAGAGGAATGAGAGATGCAACCAAGGCTCAATTCCAATCACCATGTTTGCGCTCTTTGAGCTGATCACAGCGCCAGACCTAGCACCATACAAAGCCACCAGGCTGCACTTTTGCTGGACGAATTGGTTCAGGTTGCCGTTGCCGGACCTATAGTCACTATAGTCACTTTCTTAGATTCAAACCTCGCATGTGGACTTCTTGCAGCGAGATTTTCTGACCATCCGAACGTCCGCGGAACGCTCGCAGTCGCCACATGGTGTGCTTCAAGTCGCAGCCCCGCAGCCCGCCGTAGTGTGTTCTTTTTTCAATGCCCTTAGCCTGAGCATCCTGAGAAAAAGTTCTGTAGGTTGGTAGGTTGGGAGCCACCCTTGTCGTTGAGAATCTTGTGTGGCCTTTGTTTCGCTTCGTCATGACTTGAATGATGTGCGTTGATCCTTACAACTTCCAGTTGAGTGTGCTCTTTGCGAGCTGTTGTCACCTTAGGCAGCCATGTTTGCGAATCCCCCACTGGTCGTTTTCCTGGTGATTTTCATCGTCCTGGGCAGTTTCGGAAGCTTTCTCAGCAACAAGCCGTAACAAGCCCAGTTTTGTCAGTCATAGTCACGCATCCAAATGAACATCTGGATTTCATTCATGAAGCGAAGCTCGCACATGGCCGATAACACACTACTTGTAGTTGTAGACTCACTGTTATAACCATGACAAGGAGTTCCGTGTCAAATTGCATCAAGTCGCAAATAAATGTTTCTATGCCACTCTAACTCAAGACAGCACGTAGCACTGAAGAGCGCCTATGACATGGGTTGCCTCAACCCGACTGCAATTGTTTATTAAAATTCAATTAAACATACATGAGTAAATAATGCAATGCTTTAGATATATATATATATATATACATACAGACATTCATATTATATGTATAACATCAGGTGTGCATCCTGTTTTGCATGACTCAACTGCAATTAGTATGCTGACCTGCCGAAGGAATCAATGGGCTCCTCGTAGCACTGATCAATGAAAGTATTTTAGAGTCTCAGCTTGCAAGGGGAATGCGTGCGGCGAACGTGTGCGTCCGCGCCTGCACCCATCTCCCCCCCTTAACGACCCAACGGTCCGATCCATGGTTTGGATGGTGGAGGGTCGCTTCTCTCGTTTGGTGACGCGCTCTCTCTGGCAAAGCGTGTCATTCGATGTCGCTGACAGGAGAAGAACCAGGCTCGCATCGAGGCGGATCGCATCGACCGTGAATTCAAGAGGAAGGATTTGCAACAACGGTGCGGAGAACTTTTTGATGAACTCGATGTGCAACTCGATGTCCAACACAGTGCGCGATCACGTCTTCTCGTCACGTTCTAGAAAGGCGTGGGTATCGTGGGGTAATCTGGGAGTTGCCGATAGGTCCCTTCTGAGTTTCGGAAGTTTCATGAAGTTTCTCCTGGGGAGAACGCACACGAGTGCGCAGATTTTTGAGAGCCTCAAACACAGCTGGCATTCTGTTCTGTCTTGCTGAAGCGTTCGATTTCCTGTTTGTTCCGGCTGAGGCATCACAATCGTGTCCTACCTCGGGATGAGATTCGGCAAGTGACGGAGCAAGTGGCCCTCCTTCTGGAAAGCTTTGGGGTGAACTTTCAACGTGCCGACTTGGATCAGATGTTCTACGTCATGGACTACAGTGACACAGGCGCCTCAGATGTGCACTGTGCACCCACGCTTTGCTTATTCAATTAATCAATTCGTTTTGCACAGGACCTCCAGGCACATGCATCTTCGATTCACGGCGTTGGAGTCCCTACACACTGCCAGGAATCATTGAGAGGTCCGAGTTTATCTAGGGAGTGGTTGGCCTTTGCGAGCAGATCCGGCCTATGTCTATCATGGAGCTCCACTATCAAGTCTCGAAATGTGTGGCCACTGGGATGTTCAAACAGTGCGAAGAAACCGCCCACACCACCAGGGTGACGGAGTCTGAAGACATTTGAGGACTCTTTCTTACCACTTCAAGATGATCTAGAGTCTTGAGGGGCTGTTGAACATGATCAGGACGTTAATGAAGACAATTTCAGGGCAAGGGGGCTTCACAATGCGAAGACATTTCTGAAGAAAACATCATTGTTGACTAGTTGTGCATCATTTAGCCGCTAGCCCCCACTAGAGTGCCATAGTCGGTGCTTGCAGTTGAGCAGGCCCAAATGGACCGCAACGAGACAAAGATTGACGGCCTAGCCAAAGGCATTGATTTCTACGACGAGAAGCTCGCAGCTTGGCGATGAGTTGGGGAAGCGCCAGGTGACAAAGTGGAACGAAGGTTGGTGATGGAGACCCAGTCAGCAAACCAGAAGGGGAAAGGTGAGGTGATTGGATGGTGATTGGATACAGGGGTCCACAGCAGAACTGGGCTGGAATCATTCAGTTCACTTGTGAAAAACGCTGGTCAAAGCTGCTGTCATTGCCATCTAGAGGTTGTCCGACTGCAAATGTGCGAGAGATATTTTCGACGCAGAGAAGCCGAGGATTTCTAGAAGTCATCGTCAGGGGAAGGCGATGCTAGGTTGTTTCGTTTGGATTGTGGCCCGAAAAATAAAAACGAGGTGGAAGAAGCCAACGAGCTTTTGTGCTCATTGCATCCAAGCCGTGCTCATCCCTTTCCCTTTAAATTCCACCAGCCCCGGCGTGAGGACAAGATAGAGGCCCGTTTAAAGAGCATTGCCAACTTCCTACATCTTGGCTCTGGAGCCGGAGAGACCAGGTGCCATGGCTGAAAGTCCAGTTCGATTTCTTAGCAAAGTGCTCTCAGCTCCTCTCTTTTTCACTGCCCCTTGTCTCAGTCCAGTTGTTTGTGGGTCTCCCTAGTCGTTGCTTGGTGCATCTTGCTGCCGCATGTCGCGTTGCCTGGCACTGAGGCACCCAAGACAAGCAGAGGGTGTGAGCTTCGCAGGGGATCCCAGTCATTGGAGCCTCTCAGCCGACCTTGTTTTGCAACAACACCTGCGACAACGTGTCTGGCGCACAAAAGTTAGGATCGATAGAATGTTGGTCAAAATGGTCCAGGCAAAACTATGGTTGCTTGCTCCTCCTTAGCAATTTGTAGTTGAAGGGAAGGGAAGGGAAGGGAAGGGGAAGGGAAGGGAAGGGAAGGGAAGGGAAGGGAAGGGAAGGGAGGGAGACACTTTCGGCATGCGCCACCCGCAAACCGCCATCGGGGCTTCACTTCTTTGGGGCTTCTTTGGGTTTGGCTTGCATGTGTTTGCGTCTTTATTTGGGTTCCTTTTGGCTTTGCTTGCGGGATCTTGCGGGTTTCACTTTACTTCTTTAGGATTTCTTTGGGGAGGCACCCGGCATCGAGCATCTCAGAGAAGGCAGAAGTGAATCATTGTGCTGCTCAATGGTGGTTTCGTGGCATTTGCATTCTTCATGTTTCTTCTATAGTTACTGTTTCACTTTTGTTGGCCTTCGGTTGTTGACTTCGTGGCTGGCTTGGCAGTTTTTTTTCGAGGGCTGAGGTTGCCACGAGAGCCCGAATGCCAAATTTTTACGGAGACACATGCACAGTTCCTATGACTCCAGGAGGTGGCTGCCCAATCTTCAAATCACTTGCCGTGTTCATCTCATTTGATCAATATGTCTCGTTGGATGGCTGCTTCCGTTCCGAATCTTGAGTCTTGAGCACGGGCGTTGATTCTCAACCCATATGCATGGCGCCGCCTTTTGGTTCAATCGCACCTCAAGGTTGTCCTTGCGCAATCTGGTGTACGCCGTAAACTTCCGTCCCACGTAAGCTTGGACTTGTTATCATGTGTTCTCAATAGCTCAAAAACCAGTTGTGACATGTTGTGACCGAAGTGTGTCTAGTAATTATCTGCGTGAGGCTTCTGTTTTGTGACTTGTTTGCCTAAGGCCTTGGAGTCCCGGAACTCCAGCAAAGAGCCTGCCACGGTTCGAGAGAATCACTGCAGCAACGAGAGTCCAAACTTTTGGTGCTAATCTATCACCAGTTCCCTTTACTGGATTTGGATAGAATGATCTTCCAATGCTTCCTATCTTGACCACCTTCCTGGGCCAGAAGGAAGCTCCAACGTAGTTGCATGTTGCCTTGCACGCCCCATCCCCCCTCGCTTGTTCCGATTCTCAGGGAGAGCGAGTTCAAGTCTGATGGATCGAAGCTCGGTCCCGAGCGAAGACACGTGCACGGTGGTGCACGGTGCACGGCATGTGCACAGCATGAGTCGAAAGGCTTTGGACAGCACCCAGTGGTTTTTTTCCCTGTCAACAAGCACCTGGTTTCCATATCATAGTTATGCATAATGATAAGTTGAGTCATAACGGCGTAAGTTCATTTTGTAACATCAGCCTCTACCCATTGGTCGTAGGTCATGAATTGCGGCCATACAACATGCGAGTCTTCGTGGTTGCTTTGTCGCCATTCTTGTTTCAAGTGGCACCACGCGTCTGAATGTCTTCGAGACCACTGGAGTTGTTTAAGGATTTGCCTCCAATTTTTGCAACAGTCCATGAGCTTGACTTACTGTAGATCATGAAGCATATGAGAATGTATGCACCCAAACATGCCCAAACAAAAAACAACACACGCTTCTCCGGTCTGTAAATTGCTTGGAGGAGACGTAATAATCATTTTCCGCAGCCATGGTGGGAGCAGCCTTTATCCATTTTGCGCTGGTGGAATTACGGCCTGTGATTGCTGTTGGCATAAGCAGTTTGTCAATCTATTCAACGATGATCCAACAGACCTACAACAGCGAGGTTGCTTGCATTTGCATGCCCGGTTGCACGCAACAACAGACCATTGATCAGAATAACAACCTCATTCGAAGTGCAATGACGAGCTTCAGTCCCACATTCAATGCAACCAGCAGCTGCATGTCAGTCCAGATTGGCAATGGTTTTCGCTATGGTCCTTTGTTCTATGCCTTTTTGCTTGTGGCTTGGGGCATTGTTTTCTCCATGTGCATCGTTATGTTTGTCGTAGAGGCGTGCAATCAAAGATGCACCTCTATACAAAGCGGGGCATACTTTGCGTTTTACCCGGATTTAGAGCGGAGATGTCTTTACAGGGTGTTCATTTGGACATACATCTTCAGCTTGATCGTGGTTTTCCTTGTGGGTATTGTTGTGATCCTCCTTCAGTCAAATATGAACTTCCAGCTCATGTGGACCATTGCGCAGCGCGAAATCCTGCTGCTTCTTGTTCTGCTACTTTCGTCGCAGCATCTCCTTTCACCGACCAACTTGAAGGAATTGGTTTGTTTTCGTCGTTCCTGCAGCAGCTTGTTGGTCGACTCAAATGAAATGGAATGATTGAATGTAGTGATAGGTTTCGAATGATTGGAACACGAGCCGCAAATGGGGCGAAGTTGTTCAATGCATGCCTTTCAGTCTTCACATTGCGAGGTGTAGCAACAATGGAGGCCACACGTGGCAACAACTCCTACCTGAACGCTTTGGTTCTGCGACACGGGGATGCATCTGAATTGATGCAGGCCGTTGGTTTGCCCTTTGATTGGTCATCATTGCAGCCCAAAAGCACTCAGCCAGAGAACGACCACATTGTTTAGGTGGGGGAGTCGACATGGGAGTCGACATTGCGAGCCTGCAGACCCCGCATGAAGACAATGCGTCTTTAAAAGCCTGGTCTCTTTAAATGTGCTGCGCCATCCCAGACTTTTGGATCATCATTCCAGCGCGAGTAGCTGCGCCACGCTGCGCCTTTTTGTTTTTAATGTTTAAGGCAGGTGCAATTGAAGATGCGGAATCGGGTCATTGGTGATTAGTGGGTCCAGGTCCAAGCACGCCCACTCCTAGATGAAATCGCTATATATGCCACTGTGCTTTGCTTTCATTTCAGTTGTGCGCCTTTGCCACTTCGAGATTCTGGCAGCATTTAATTGGCGGGTTGGCCCCGCATCACGATCATCCTGGCCGACAGCCGACCACCGTTGTGAAAACCGCCTTCTGCAAGGAAAAGGATTGAACGTGCTGCCTTGCCCTTACTTGCGGAAAAAAGGGGACATTCTTACCTGTTCGGAACCAGCCAGTTCTGGATGTCATCCCATTCTTGAGTGAACCTGAAGTTCATTTCAGCCAACGATTACTCCAACGGTCATTGCACATTCGTACTCATCGCTGGTGGAGCGCACATGCACGACCTGACAGTCCCAGCTACACTCAGGACTCCCATGCTAAACGAGCCGCCTTCATTGGATGATGCTAACCATTCACCAAGCAGAGCGGATAAAGGCCGAAATGTGGACAATGGCAATAGAAACTCGAACCAACGATTGCTGCTAACTTCCATGGAATTTCTCGAAGTTCCAGGCCCCTTTGGGGAGCAGGTGCCACTGGTCCAGCTATTGCAAACCCAGCAAGGCTTGCTGGAAGCCATGAAGGCCGAGACGGGGTACAGGCATTGGGTGTTCCAGCCATGGATACCATCGGTGGAAGCTCCTGTGGGGCCAGAAAAACCTTCACCTTTGACAACTGCAGGGTCCATGCTTCTTAAAATAGAGGTTTTTGGGTGGTACTGTAATGAATGGAGTTGCTTGTGTTTCAGGCGGGTGTGAAAAGCAAGGCGCCATCTTCAGATATCTTCGTTTCAAAAACCTCACACCAAGCGCATTTTCTCCAGCGTTCTCGCTGGAGGCCTATTCGGCCCAGGTGGACGACATGCAGCAGGTGGGGTGAACTCTATGGGCTCCGAAGTAAGAACAGACGTCTTTCACCAGGCTAAGATGATATTTCTCACCCTTCAATGCCAGGAACAAAGGACAAGAAATGTGTTTCTTGGGGGCCCTCTAGGCTCTCTGAAAGCCACGCAGGT